TGTTTGTATTTATTTTTTTATCGTGACTATATATTGAGAGGAACGCAACAATCTATGACAAAAGATTATTTCTTAGATGGAAAACAGACAGTAGCAGCAGAAATGTTCTTGTAGAAGATTCTGTTCAGTTAATTGTTCTCAATTATTTCAGGCAAGTTTTAAGGCAGACGAATGTCCAGACAAATGTTTCCGGTTGTGGTAACAGAGATATCGTTTCTGAGTCATAAATTTTCGTCTAATCTCTATACAGTTACATGAAATGAGATTTTTTTCCGTGAGGAAACGATATCTTACATTTATTCGAGGCTATGTGAACAAACCGTCACGAATAGTTCCTGTTTTCTCTCTTTCTTTCTCTCTCTTTCTCACACATACTCTCATGACTTTGGTTTTATAAACGCAACGTCATGATAGCTCTTATTTTCTCAATTTTAAATAGTGCTCAAGCCGACTTCCCGGCAATCCAGTTACATCGAGCCTCGTTTCGATACGCGTTTTCTTCGTCGCGTCGAAACGAAGTAATCGAGGAAGTATATAGCTCGCGTTGCTCCGCAAAGTCCATCCATCTTCGAGCGTTCCTCCTCTCTCATTCCTTTTTCACCCTGGAACGCGAGTTACTGCGGAAACTATGCTGCGATTCGTATCGTACTGAGCAACCGTAGGTGCTATTATTACAGCTTATCTCGTAATGAAAGAGACCGATGTAAAAACGACAGGATACAATCCATAAGTAAACTCTGACGACGAGAATTCACGGACAGTGCTCGATTCTTTCTTTCTCCGATGTAATTTTCTACATCAGGATGTAGTATTTATAGAAAGAAAAGGAAACAAAACAGGAAATTGGCAGAAGAAGAAAATTGAAAATTGACGATTAAGAATGAATAGAATGAATAGAAATGAGATAGAAAATGCTCGAACGCGTATCTAATCCTGAACATTTTTGTTGTTTTGATCTTTAAATATAAATATTTAATCTTTTAATATAAAAATGTATAATATATTGGACGTATACATACATTCCACGTTGAAATATATTCGTATTTCAAGACCGAAACAATAAAAATGTTTCAGAATTAGGTGTATGAGTATGTCCGGTACTTTTGAATCGGTACTTTTACCATATATGAATATCGGTTGCTAAGAAATGTTGCTAACAAGTGGAACCTCATATATGCGAAATCGGAAGTTCACTGCTAAAATACAAAAACGCCGTCTCAAAAATCCATTCTGCTGTAAATGACTTAAAGATATAAAATACCACTTCTATCGAGATTTTCTTTTTTCTTTTTAGCAAGTAATCTTATTTTTTAGATAAAAACTCTCACGGATCGGAAGAAAAGTTAATCCTGAAAGCTGGCTAGGTTAAAAATCCGTAAATGATAATTTCTGTTGATACGAGGTATCGCTTCTTTAGCTATCGACACAATTTACGCGCGTGAGACAGGCTCGACGTTTATCGTTGGAAATAATCTACTCAATAGTTGCGTACAATTCACTCGGCGATCAGAAAGAGACAGAAGGAGAGAGAGAAAATGCGCGAGCTCTCCGGGCGGTGTCGGACGTATGTCCTCCGCAAATTGGCGGGATTAGAGTAAATTCGGGTCAGGGCGCGCAATTGCATCTCTCGCTCTCTCGGCATTTAAACGCGGAGCGTTCTCGCGTGGCGCCCGTGGACGAAGGAACGGACACGGGCAACGCCAGACATAAAGCAGGTTGATAGTCCAATTAACGCGAGTGCCCACTCGCGGAGAGTCGAAAGGGAGAGACGCGCAGAGGCGTCGCTCCATACACACGTCATGCGGCATATTTCCCGGCGCACCCATCCTGTCCCCTCCAGGATCTTTCGCTTCCTACGGCCGATTGATTATCCTCGTTACTTTACGCTTCTCGCATCTCCGCGGCTACCTTTCGCGTCTCCGGAGACGTGTGGGCATCACCTCCGACGGCACTGACACACGACCGCGACGTGCTCTCGACAATGGAGCATGAGCTACATGGAGTAAAGAGCATGAAAATCACTCGTAAACGAGGAAATTATCAGTATTAGTAGTAACGACAACACGACAGGATAATAATAATACATAACTGTTTAACACGGTCAAGCAGTTGTAGTTTACAATGTGTGTTAGGTGCGATGATTATCTTTAAAATAGGTAAACTAATCGATATTTTTTGCTGCCAAACTGTCAAACATTGTTGGCAACTCTGTCTCTCACGATTCCACGGCGGAATTTTAATCTTATCACATAGTAGTAGTAAGAACGTCCCTTTTGAGAAAAATTTTACTCAATACCTAATAGTTCACCTTATATATGTATACTATAGAGTATCGTGTAAGGGCCGATTTTTCCAAACTCTTGATAAGCTATCTGATGGTTAAATCATGTCTATCTTTGTTTTTTCTTCAAATTGGACGAAGACAAACACATGATTTAACTATTAGATAGCTTACCAAGAAGTTGGAACAATCGGCCCTGAAATTTTCTCAGAAAGGATGTACAACTCTAATGAATGAAATATGCGGTCGATAGGAAGCTGGTGAACCCAATAATAGCTGACTAACACAGCCACCAACTAGCTGCATTGACCGTGACTTTGGTCACTCAGGCTTCAATTAAGCTTCGATTAGTAATTTATGGAAGTTCACATTGGCGGTCGACGCGTTAACACGCAGTGACAATTTATTCAACGAGTTCTCGTCATGAAGGTGTTAGCCCCTGAGTCAACAATGCGAAGCGTAAAACTGTTGTCGGGACGGTTTCGCGCCAACGACACACACGCATCTCTCGGACATTTCTACCAGGCTCGCGACGGACGTGCAATCATCCGAGCTGCGGTAACGCGGAAACGTCCATTCATCATCGTGATGATGCTGCAACGCGCGATACGTTACGTCGCAAGAAAGAGGGCCGTATCATTAATTAAACCGGGGCGTCATTTCCTCGATCGCGAGTTAACGAGATCTCTCACTGTTCCATCCATTAATTCGCGGACGCGCGCGCGAAGCTCGTAATTAAATCACTCCGAGGTGTCAGTTTGCAAAGTCGCGCTGAGAAATTTCTCCTCGAGAAACTCAATGGGACACTTAATAAACCCCGGACATTTGCAAAATAACCGTCGCAATCGACGTGCCACTTGAAGCTGGACGGTTTCTCCCCGTCTTTCTTTCCGCGGCTTTCCGTCCGTCATTCGAGGAGTTTCCATCGTTTGCGGAACGAGAGTGACTTGTTTCAAACGAATCCGTACGCACTCTAAAAAACATAATTTCGTCCTTGGCGGAATTCACTGAATTCTAGAGAACTTTACTCTTACATACAGCCTCTGAAAAGGATTCTCGTAAAACCAAAGAGAAAGTATTCTACACGGAAGAAAAAGAATAGTTGTGTCAACTCGAGGATGGCACCACGAGTCGAAATTTTGACTCTGTTAAATTTTGAGTTCTACAACGTAGTAAGTAAACTTACCCAAAAGATACATTCCGATTTTTTTCTAATTTGGCACAAATGTAGAAGTACAAAAAATATTTAGATCATATTTTTTCATTTTGAGTTTTATGGACAGTTTATAGCTTTTTAATGTTTTCACTTCTATCAACAATTACAATAAAAATGCATAAAAAATAAAAATAAATACAAAATATAGGCGTTTTTGGTTTGCTGATTATGAATATGAAGTCAAATGTGTAAAATTATTTAATAATAAAATAAATTATTTAATAATAAATAATAAAATGTTTAAACAAAACGTTGTAAAAAGTTGAAAAAATTATTTATACAAATAATTTCTCGACTAAAGAAATTTAAAATGGCTCGTGTCTCAGCTATGCTGATTTTGTTGAAATTATTTAATTATATTTTGTATTCAATTTTATTTTTTATACATTTTTGTTGCACTTGTTGATGATAAGAGTGAGAACATTAAAAAACTATAAACTGCTCGTGAAACTCAAAGTCGACCAAAATAAAAAAATATGACTTAAATATTTTTTGTACTTCTACATTTGTGCCAAATTAGAAAGAAATCGGAGTTTACCTTTTGAGTAGGTTTACTTGTAGGTTAGCAAAGTAGGTTTAATTTTAATGACATAATTTACCCCTACTTTGACTCTGATGATGTCCGAAATTTTCCTTTTTACTTTCTTCGACGTCAAAGTAGATGTTGAATGGAATAGTGAGATTGAAAATAGGATCAAAATTTCAGCTCGGGATTTCTCGGAACGATGAAAAGATCGGTGACACGCGCGAGCCACGCGCCGGCTCGTTAATTGAAATCGCGGTCCTAATTGAACTCCCTCTCCCGTCGCGAGAGGGACGCTCGGGGGAGAAGGAGGAAGCAGCTCGTACTCCTAATTACTCGACAGTCCCCTTTTCGATTCTCTTCGGTCGTTTCTTTCAATTTTAGAGCCCTTTCTTTTTCGCGCACGCGACACACGCGTGCCGCACGCACCACGCGCGCCTCGTTAAGCAGAAATCAGTGCAGATTTGTGCCTGCAAATTGCATCTCCGTCCCACCGGCGCGTCGGTGTATATTAGTGGCTCGCCGACGTGGGGGAGAGTGAAGGCTGTTCGATTCGATTTCACCGCTGTCGATTTCACCATTGTCAGCACTCGCGCCTGTCTGATCTGTTTTCTGTCTTTTCTTCGCTCGGCGAGCGCAGCTGAAAACTTCACCAAATGCCGATGTGAATGTAGAGGATTGAAAATGCGTCTGCGAGCGTACCATCAGACTGACCTCACAAGGTCTCACTCTCGCGGATAGAAAAATTCGTTTCTGCACTCGCGAGCGCGTAACTGGTCTTTTTTTTTCGTCTGAGCAATTACGAATTTACAAAGAGACGAATATATAAGTGCTCAATGAGCGCGATAACAGCTGAAAGTTGGGATGCCTGGCCCATAAAAAAAATTCAATAATAATATTTTATTGAACGTTTTACTGCGAATAACAAATTCCTGCGCAACTCGCCTCGCCTTGCTAACTCGATCTTTTTTACGTTTCAGGGTGTTGAAACCGCCCGGCGGCGGCAGCAGCGACATTTTCGGCTCGGGCCCGGAGGAAACGAGCCCGCGACGCGTCAAGACTCACAATCAGTCCCAGCTGGGCCTGGCGTTGTTTGGCGACGCCAACGGCACCGACGCCGGTAACGGCAACGGCAACGCGAACGCCGCCGTGTCGCCGCGCTCCAGCAGCAAGCCCGGTAATGATTCATACAATCGTCTGTTTGGCCCCCCCGATGCCCCACCCACCACCCCAAACGCGAGAAATCACATGCGCAGCAATATCTCCCTCAGCGGGGGATCGTCGGCCTCGTCGTTATCGTCGGGCGCCGCGACGTCGCCCGCGAAGAGCACAGCCAGCAGCGGCAGCAACACGACGGGCGTCGCCAACGGCTTTGCCGTCAGCAACGGCAGCAATTCGATCAACGATATCACAGGTAAGGTGGGCCCCTTCGATCGGGCAAGCGTTTACAGAGGTGGTAGCGGATCATCATATCCCGGGGCGGTCGAGAGCAAAAGACGAATGGGAGAGAGAGAGAGAGAATGTCCATCACTTCTCGTGAGAAAGACTTCTCGTCGTTATCGCCGCGAGATTGACGATTGATGATCTTGAATATATCACGTGTTAAGGAGCCAAATTATTTTGCAAAAATGCGAAAAATGTGCATTAAAATAGCGAATTAATTAAAGCCCTTATCGTGTGACGATTAAGGGGGCGAATCACCTTTTCAGGCCAAAAGAAGCAATAATATGTGGAAATTTATTTATTAGGGAAAACCGCTAAAAATAGATATGTTTGAATTTTATATATTGTATGTAATTCAGTAATATATTTATTGCTACAGATAACAGAGTATAGAATATTATATATAATTAAATGTAACATTTTCATTTAAACTAAAATATTTATAATTATTTTTGTGCAAAAATGACGTCAATAATTATAACATTATTTAATATAATTTATTTATTGTGTAAATATATTATTTATATATATAATTGGATATATATATTCAATTATATATATAAAATTCTCAAATATATTCACTTAGTAGTTTTCTTTATATAAATTCCTGAACATCGTTGTTTCTTTTGGTCTGAAAAAGCAACCTGCTTCCTCAATTGACATTCAATGCGCGAATAATCGGCGCACAATGAGCACTTTGATTAATTTACATTTCTTTTCTATTGTGGAACGAGTGAATTTATCGTGACGATTCTTGTCTGTGGAATTTTTGCACGAATTGTTACAAGAGCTCGGAGATATTCGCGTATTCTTTCCCTCTCTGTCTTTCTCTACAGAAAAGGCTCTCGCGGCATTCGGTACTTAAGAATGCGAACTGCCCCGAAACCGCTCGAACCTCATCTCGGAAGACCCTGATCCTGATCTAAGTTGAAATATGTGTGTGTCGCAGGCTCTTGGCGTGTGTAAAGTGTCCGGTTGTGTCGATCGCTATATTTCGCTTTTTGTCACCGCGAAAAGTACTCTTTCCCTTGTTCCGTTCAAAGAGATTCGCGTTCGATCCGTAGAAGACTCCGACACTTCGAAAAAATTTGCCATTAGAGAAATTCGCGAACTTTGTCTCTTGACTGCTTTATACTTTTCCAATAGAAAACACGCACGCGAATACATTATCTTGTTACTAAAACAAGTACACGAATTTCTCGCGTTTTCTAAACGATATTCAAATCAATCAACACATTTTTATTATGCTTCTGTATTTTTTACCGTATCTCGTGCGAAATCATACCGAGATGAGTGCGGCGGCGAAAGTTCCCCTCCGGATCTTCGCCGATCGCGAATCGCGTTTGTCTCTATTTTTCTTCTTTTTTTTTCACGCTAATCGAGCCGCCGTTTGTCGGCTTTGCTCGTCGGTGCGGAGCTAGCGAGACACTCAGGGAAAAAATGCAAATGAAAAGAAAAGGAAACAAAATGAATTTCTCACTGTACGATCACAATCATATTGTCTAATGTGTGCCGCTTTTAATTATACGTCACTTTCCTTGAACTGTTTCGCAAGCAGCTTTTAGGAGAAAGAAACGATTTCGTAAGTGTGTAACGAGACATTCAAGTAGATGACACACACGACACTACCACACTCTTGTTGTCTTGTTTGATCATAGTTAGACGCGAGTTAATATCGTTCCCTTCGTCACGTCACCGCGAGAAAACGCGAAAAAATCACGAGATTCATTTCATTATTTTTGAGCGCGCTCGAGATTATTATCGTAGAGAGTTTTCATTATGTGTCGCCAGTACATCATCGCGTCCTATTCTAGGGCCTGCCACGAGAATGGAAACACATATTTTGAGTTAGACACGCCATGTTTATCGCTTAGGCCTTAAGTTCGTACCGTACACACACAAACACACACACACACACACACACACACATATATATATATTTATATAATTCCGCTAGTAACATCTTATCTCGCTTTTACGTTAAAATTATTTATTTACATTACGTTCTCCCCACACACGATTCACTCATTCACTACGAACTCACGGTAAACGACATTGATCTGCATATTAGCGCAAAAAGAGAAGATATATACATACATATGTCGCGTTAAATTGCAACGATAATTTAATGACAAAAATTGGATCAGCTGTGATTTTGCTCACGCAAGATATCAGGCAAACGAGAAACCGGCACATTGCGAATGCAGCCGAGGATTATGAATTTGCCGTGAAAAATTTTCAGAGAAAGAAGGAGAGAAAGAGACTCTCCTCTCGTAAAAGATAGAAGGTATTTCGATGTCGTTTTTCGAGAACGTCATTCACGAAACTTCCCGCGAATGCGGGCGAGGTGCACTGTCGGGACTAAATCGCGATATCATCCACTCGCGAGACCCTCCACCGATTCATTTAAAGCTCCTTGCACCTCGGTCGGCCATGTCGGATTTGTGACGTCAGAAGCGAGGAGTGATATGCTGACGAAAATTGCGTGCCATTTCTGAATAAAGGTAAATATGGACGAAAGGACATTTGAAATTGCTTGAGCATTCTTGTAAAATTGTCTGAAGGGTATCCCTTTCCCTTCTCTCTTAAAGTGAATCAGTGAATAGTCACTGATATCAGTTATAAGTACAGCACTGAGCAGTTTCAGTGCTGTACTTATAGCTGCAAATCAGTGCTTTCAATGATGTTTTACTGATTCACTTTAAGAGAATTGATGATGAATAAACAGTCGTATAATAAACGGTGAAATAAGATACGTGAAATGATGAAACGAGTCTATTTTGTCTGTATGCTTTATTTCACCATTTATTATACGACTGTTTACTGATCGTCAGGGAAGTTTTCAGGGATAGTTTTCGGAAAATTTTACAAGTGTGCTCAAGCGATCTCAAGTGCTCTTTCGCCCATATTTATCCTTTGTATTTATAAATGGCACGCGCAACTTTCGTCAGCGTGTCATTCCTCGCTCCTGACGTCACAAATCCAACATGACGGCGAGGTGCAAACAGCCTTAACAAATGCACGCACAATCGAGAAGAATCTTTTCTTTTGTCTCGGTAACACTCGAATACGACGGATTAACCTTGGAATGGCGCGTGTCACCCCGGCTGAAATAAAAGTATCATCACTGCTACGAGTGCTGCATCACGGTCGGAATAACACGCGGTTTGTCTCGCTTTTCTAACCTCCACCTGTTCTGTCTTCTTGGGTTTCGCATTGTTGCCGTTTGTCAAGTACTCATCCCCCGCTTCCCTTTACAACTTCAGCACAACACACAACGTTTCAATTTTGCTTTTGTTTTAATTTCCGTCGCACGGACGAATCCAAGATATCGAGGACGCCTCTCTCATGTTTATATCTCGATCTCGAGACGGATCTGTTTCGAATTGTACGCGAACTCCCTCGTCTCGTCAAGGCAGATCGTAATTCAAACGAAATTCAAATTTTTTTCATGAGTCCCAATTGATCTGTTATTTATCAGCATGTAATTAAACAATCGTTTTGCTCTGTTCATTCACCACGTAGCGCGTACCGGCTCGCCTTTATTTTGTTGAGTCGATGAAAATAAAAGGAGAAAAAAAGTAGTACGTCTCAAGGTAATTCCGTGAAAAAAGAGAGAGAAAGAGAGTGAAAGATGTAAGCGCGGTGCGTATCTGCGATCCGTCCGTACGAATTGCCGCGCGCATTAACACGAGTTGGTTGGGTTACGGTTATGGGTTTTGCGACGGTGTTACGGTGCATGGGGTGGTGGTGAACGGCTCTGGCTCGCGCGTCGCTTCGCGGCGGCGACGGCTGTGAACCGCTGGTGTTGTTGCGAACGACGCGGGTCGGCTTGGACTCCGACGTCGCATCCCCCGCAGGAGGATCGTCCTGCGTGCCGGCGCGCAACCCGGTCACCGGCGACGGAATCGAGGTGACGCCCGTGAGGCGCATCGCACGAAAGTGTCGAGGTAACGTTCTCTAATTCCGATTATCCCTCTGATTCTCGCCCCCCCCCCTCATGATTCCCGCCACCCCCTAAGTTCGTCCTAGGGACGCGCTTTCTCCCCCTGTAAAGCACCGGTGGTGTCAGCCCCAACCACCGGTGCGAAGTAGCTTTACGTTACGAGATTAAGGGAATATTCGGAGGGGGGTTGGTCGAGTGAACTTTAACACGTTGACTGCCGCGTTGATCGTACACAATCGATGATTGAATTGCTGGGGAAATACGATAAATGTTACTTAAGGATTGTATTATACAGGGCGAGTCATACACTCACATCTAACGTTAGATTGTAGAATATATTTGTTGACTTTTATATTAAGAGGAGAATGTGTAAGGAGCAAATCGTGTAAATATAAAGTTTTGGCTAACTACAATATTTAACTCTTCCAACCATCCAATTTGTTCTTTACACATTTTCCTCTGATGTGAAAAATGACAGATTTTAGAATTTAACGTCAGATGACTAACCCTGTATATTTTTTATATATACGTAAAAAATATGTATATGTATTATATAATTCTCTATAGATACATTTATGTTTTTTGCGTTATTTCATCGACTTTCTATTGGCCGTACAGCCGATTCTCCGAATTCAATTTTGAGAAATCAAATTCTCAAATTTAATTTGAAGTATATTTATATTATATTTGAAGTATATTATACTTCATACGTGACGTAACCTTTACGGTAAATACCGTCATTTTATTGGTTCGAAAAAATTTGCTTAAAATTGTTGTATTCATTATTGTCTTTCTGTTTAACTTCTAACGTAGTGTTCCCGCATAATTTTAACGGAGTTCTTGAAAATTAATTAGTATGAAATTTACATTAGTACATCCGGGAAGCGCTCGGATGTTACTGTCAGGATCAATAAGACGCGGTGATATCATAGTCTGATCACCGCGTGTGTGATCGTCACAGCACTCGAAGTGCTGGCACCAAAGAGATACAATAAATAAATATAATTCAAGGCGCATGTACCTTTTATCTCGCTTCATTGACCGCACCGCGAATTCTAAATGTGTGTTATTTTGGCTGATTATCTTTTTACACGTTCCTCGTCGTTTAACATTTATCAAATGTGTATCAAATTTTATAAATTATTTAACGTTAAAAATTATATAAATTATTTAACATGTTTGAAAAACATGTTAAATTATAATTTACACATGTTAAACGATTTAAAACCTAGAAAAAACTCAGGAAAAAGAGCGAGACAAATTACACGCTTTTGTGAGTTCAAAGATAACATGCACTCGGACTCGCGATGCGTTCAGCCGATTTTTTTCGTACGTAATTCTTATTTGAAACGAGACGCAGTAGTACTGCACTGAGAAAAAATCTAAGAAACAGCAAATTTATTTAGTGAATACTGACAACATATTTACTTATAATACTAATATAAAATATATTACAAACAAGAAAATCTACATTTTCTACACGGAAAAAAAGATTTGGTTGAATTAACCAAATATCTGGTCGAATATGAACGATCCAGAAATTCCTATTGAAATAACCCGAATTCTATTTAAGTTAACAAGAATTTTGGTAGACTAACATGTCTGGTTAAATAACCAGATATATTTAGTTAATCTACCAAAAATCTTGTTAAGTTAAACAGAATTCGGGTTACTTCAATCGGAATTTCTGGATCGTTCATATTCGACCAGATATTTGGTTAATTCAACCAAATCTTTTCCTTCCGTGTAAAAACCTTAAGAAAACCTTAGTTTTCACGAGAGCAACTATTTATTCTATCTAAATAAAAGAATTTAGATGTAATTAAATATGCTATTGGTAACCAAATAAATATTTACTAATTTTTAAATATCTTTTCTCTCAGTGTAGTGCTGGTTGCTGCTGACCGTCACGGCATTCAACGTGTTAAGACTGTGAATTGTTTGTAGATGAAACGCACATATACATTGAAAGAAGGATTTGATTGACGAAACCAAGAATTGGTTAAAATGGGATCAACCAAATGTTTGCTAATTGCAATAAAAAAATTTAATTGCCGCTATTTTGCTTTGCTCAGTGACTAATCAAATATATACTGAGGAAATAAGGCAAAATAGCGGCAATACAATTTTTTGGATGTAAATACCAAACATTTGGTTGATGCCATTTTAATCAAATTTTGGTTTGGTCCTTTCAGTGCATTCGAGTGAGTTTTCATGCGTAGAACGGCTTGATCAATCCGCGGCAACGCGCGACACTGCAGAAAGGAAGTTAAAATTTGGCGGGAATTGTTCATAATCGTCACTTCCCGCGGGGTAAAGCGTGAGTTGAGGATATCAGTCTGATTGTCGGTCATCGGGTCGGTTGCGAAACTCACGAATGAAAACTCGCTCTCGATCCTGCGAGTGGCTCACGCTGAAACGATACTTATCTAATCAGGCCAGTCGTCCACTCGCAGAAGAACGTCACGCGGAAAGAATCGCGGATGAAAATCAATTACCGCCGGGAGAGAGTTCCGGCGGCTTCACGGCGCGTAACTGAACGTAATTGAACGTCTGCCCGCTAATAAGCCCGCGTTAATTGTACGTGCGAATCGCTTCGTTATGTCTTTCTTTCGCGTGGTACGCGCAGCGCTCTCGCGTCGCAACGCGGATCGCGTTAAACTGCGCAATTAAAGGCAACAGAAGAAAGGAGGAAGTGATCGCGCAAGCACCGAGCTGGGAGCCGATATTGTATACGCGTATAATAAATATTTACGCGAGATTTAAATTCTCTCGCGAGATCGAAACGAGGCGAGAGCTCTCTCGGTGGTAACGCGCCGTTCTACTGGGATAAAAATCCGGATGTTGTTCGCTCGGGGAAACGTTCTCGCCGCAGAGAGAACGAGAGAAAGAGAGATTCTGAACGGTAACGAATTGTTTATCGAGAGAAGTAGAATCACGAGCCGTGCGTGTGTGCGCGTGCGCGTGTATACGTGTGTGTACCGTTAACCCCCGGTCTTCCGTGCTGTTTAATCGCGGGCACGATGTTTTAAGCGCGATAATAACGCGCGAGCCACGTTCGCGGCTCTTGTCCGCCGGCGAATACGGTGTCTCGCCGGGGATTGAGGGGAGGAGGGTGGAAAAATGGGAAAATCGCAGGCTGTTCATGGAGTTTATTCATTTGAGCCGAGATGCTGAAAATTATGTAGAAATTTAACGTAACGTTTATCTTAAACACATTCGTCGTTTCGTGCGATTCGTCCGCATCGTTCGTGAGGAATTTAAGGCTCCTTGTACCGGAGCCGGCCATGTCCGATGATTTGTGACGTTAGAAACGAGGAATCAAGTGTGTTATTTTGGTTGAATCCTTTACACGTTTTGAGTCACGCTATTTAAACATATTAAATTATAATTTACACGTCTAAAAAACAGTAAAAGACGTGTAAAAGAGACTTGAATCAAATTACACGTTTATGCATTTAAAAGTAACACACTAGGACTTGCAGTGTAAGGAACAGCTCCCTTGAAAATACGTCTCTTGGATGTCCTGAAAATACACATGCCTGGTGAATAAACTCCTTAAATCTCAAATGACTGCACGCGCCAGCTACCGCATGATCGGAGGCTACGGATGTTTTAGACTCGCTCGCTCGTTGTTTAAGTCAAGGATCACGTCTTGTATAATAGCGAAAGGAGAGTGTAAGAGCGCGATTAAGCTATTATAGCTAGGCGCGCGCGTACCCTTATGATAATATTATAAATTAGCACATTTGTGTATATCTGTGTATATCCGTGTGTTATGTGTACTCACTTTTCCTCACCTCGTGTTGTATTATCGACTCAATTCGGCCTGATTCGGAGATTCGCTCGGAAGGATCCGTCGTTCCTCGACGTCGTGGAAATTCTTTTCGCTCGACGATCTCTTTGACGGGTTAAACGTGTGACATGGGAACGGTAGTCACCGATTGCCACTGCGATACCACCGCGTCTCATTAAATCACGTGAGTACAGTTAATCGCGTCCGCGAAATTGGTTGTACACCGAGAAGGAAATGTTGAATACTTGTGACTATAATCGCAGAAGAGATTCCTTGCAGCGTAATAATTATCTGCGGAATAATTGCAATCTGAAAATAATTGGGACGAGCAGCCATTTTTGTAGCAAATGCTGGTATAAATACTAGAAAAAAATAGCTGAAAATTCATTTGCACGGGATGTAAAGTTTATTTCACGGAGATAAAGTTTATTTCGTAGCAATAAACTTTATATCTCACAAATAAATTTTCAAACGTGCATTTGCTCACAGTGCAGTGTTAACGACAATAACTCCATAAGTATTTTGCTATTACTCTTTCTATTAAAACGATACAAAAATATAGTTTTCATTAAAGAAGATTGTTTTGACTAATGAGCGTTTTAATTAAAAGACTAATTTCAACGAGATTAATTGATTTTTTCTCCCAATGTACGGCCAATAAGAAGTAAACGAGAGAGGATATAAAAGATACGCGAATTTAATCATCGGCTAGTTCTATAAGTTCCTTGTAGAATCGATGAAAATTAACATATCGGCAGTCAACGTGTCGAAAAGCGAATCTTCGACGCGAGATCCATCGTTTCACACGTCTCTGCATTCACTGTTAACTGTTACGGTAAGTTCATCAAGCGATCATGCCAGCCTAGTAGATAATACGTAAGATATCGTTTTTCTCGTAGACCATTTCAGGTGTTAAGCCGGTTCGCGATCATCGTGGCCGGTGATCTCGCGACCGATTGCGCTTAATTTGTGCCTGCGAGACCAAGCTACTACTCCTGATCCTCTGCCCCCCCCCCCCCC